CCCTCATTCATTTTTATACCTAAATTTCACATTTGACAACTCCCGCTATAAGCAACTTGCGCCCGAACTAACTTGGGGTTTATCACTCCTAGCTATGCCCTACCTAACCATCATATTCCTGACCGAAAAGCTTTTTATCACCTCGGGTGGTTCCCTCGTAAGAAAAAAAAATAAATGCATGTCATACCTGATATGACTTTTTTATTCAGTACCTTCCTTCCTTGCCAAAATTTTTGATGATTTCCGTCATCATATGCTGGAAAACTGTTTTTCTATTGTGGGTGTGGGTATAGTTTTTGACCTTTGTTTGTTGAATATCTTTCGAAAACGTCATAGTATAGAATTGAAAATTTTACTGTAGCCTCAATATATCGTGTAGCTTTCAAAATGTGGAATTCAAATGTGTTTTCTAGCCTCATTATACTAATACAAAATGCATACAATGAAAAATTTCACATAATTTTTGATATCTTGATTATAGAATTTTACTTGGATACAAACATTCGAATTTGAACAAAGACTTTAGAATGTTCAAGCATAGTCTAAATTTTTTTTATTAATGTTTGTTCAGTGTTTTTTTCGTTGTTAAGGAATTCTGGGAAAGAAATCTGATGTTTGTTGTTCACAGTCGCTATGGAGACATTCTCAACAATTTTTAACTTCGATTGTTATAAAGATAGGAGAGCCGCAAAACTTCAATATAGAACTTACGGTCCTTTTTTATCTAATTTAGCTTTTCCATCTTTGATTAATGTTTCTAAACATTCATAATGTCCATTAAGCACAGCCAAATGTAGAGCAGGATAATCATATTTATTTATAACATTTGGATTAGCCTTTTCTTTCAGTAATTGTTGAACTTCTTCCAATACATTGATTCTATGTGATGATTTATTATAATCACTGTTTTTTTTCTCAAGTAATCGGATTAATGCATGAGTTGGCTATTATAAAACATAATCAATAAAACAAAAAAAATTCATAATAGAATATTTATTCTTACACTATTAGTAGTAGTAGTATTATTTGCATTAGCTGATTGTGGTCGTTTTTTAGTACGATGTTTCACTTTTGTTCGTTGTACTTTTTCTCTAGGATATTCACCTTTACAATAATAGAAGAAAAATTTTGTTTAAAAATGCTTTAGAAAAAAAGTCTACCATCAGAATAGATTGTACTTGAAAATGCTGAACTTCGTTCACTATTTATTGGATAATATTCATTTGTTTCATTAATAAAGAATGGTGATCGAGAAAGATTCTCTGGTTTACGAAATACTGCTTGAACAGTTACTTGATATTCATTTTCATGTACAGTTGCATGAATCATTTTACCCATACGTGGTTCACCTAAAAAAAGTAATTAAACGAGTTAAAATGACATAAGATTATCAATTTATTAAATCCTAACATTAATACTTCAGAATGCATAGAAAATTTATTTTAAAACAATCAGAAATAGTAATGATTAGGCATTTTAAAAAAAGAATGGTGATCGTTGATTTTTGAATAACTTTTGATAGGAACAATGCAGAGAGCTGTGGTTTTCACTATTCAATAGAGAACACCTCGGATCATCGAAATAAATCAAAATCTGATTGATTGGCAATTAACCAATCAGGTAAGTTCCTAGCCAAAATTTTGACATGCAAATGACCAATCGGTAGAAAAATCTTTTCTCTCGATCTACGTAAACCCTAACTTCATAGCCGCTTTAGTTCAAGATGTATACGGGCTTTCTTCAGAGTCTTGTTCTTAGAAAATTGACCTTTGAAGGTTTCAAACAGAAATAATTTACAACGCTGTGTCGAATAGTGGTGATTATTTTCAATTTAAAAGCAATCTGAGACCGCAATTCGAACATATTCAAAAATTCGATTTTTGTACTATGTAGAAAAAGTTTTTGAAATTTCAAAACTACTGAAATAGTGATCACAGATCGTTTTTCAAACTAATAACTATTCACCAGGCATGCAGAGCATCTGAACTCAACCTGATTGTATTTAGGACCGCATTCAAACATTCGGGTTTGGTGCAAAACTATTATGGACCAATCTGATTTCGACTGACCTCCATAGTTTCGGATATTCTCTCTTGAATTTTGTTCATGAAAATTGATTGGATTTTAAGATCAGCACAATAATTTGATCAGATTAGAATTCATCATATCTATTACTAATATGAGTTTTTAGACGTTCGAAATCTTACCAATCAATGATTGAAAATCAGGTCGATTAACTGCATAAGCTTTTAAATGAGCTGAAATATGATCTAATTGTTGTCGCCAATATCCTTTTCCTGGACTTGTAGCTGTTAATACTGGACGATGTTCTTTAGATTCTTGTTCAGCTAATAATTGTTTATTTTGTGTTATTATTAAATCAATATCTTTTGCACTTGGATAATAAATTCCATATGTTTGTGTAGCAGCTTCATTTTTTTTTATTGAATTTGGTTGATGATAAGGAGTCAATGTTGTATTTGCATTAAGCCATACTGGACTTGCCGAATTACGTGTTAACGTCTAGATAAAAGAAAAAAATTTATTTTTCTTTTAATCTAATTTAATTTACATTAGCAATCATCGATGAAGATGAAATATTTAAATCATTTCTAAGACGTGTATCAATAACACGTAATGGTGTTTCAATAACACATCCACATGCTGAACAAAATTTTGCAAATGGATCATTATTAGTTCGACATTTTGTACATTGTATTGGTGTAGATGCATGTTCTGGATATGCACCACACCAATCACAAAAACGAGCATCAGGATTATTTAAACGAAGACATTTTGAACATGTCATCATTATTGTATCGGTTTGTTTGGATACTGATGGAACTGAAACTGAACTTCGTTTTTCCTATTGAAATATGAATAATTAAAAAAATACAGAAGACTTTTTTTTGTTTTTACTGGTGTTGTTGATGTTGGCATTAATGGACTTTCACAAATATAACATGTTCGTAAATGTATTGGATTTCCTGATTTACAATAAGGACATAGAATTTTTGTCTAAAGAATAATTTTAAATTTTGATTAATTTTTAAAATGTTTCTTTTTTTGGAAACCTGATTTTGAGTAGGTGGACGTTGTTGGGGTTCTATTGATGCTGGTGTTTCACAAACAACGCATGCATTAGAATTAAATGGAATTGTAGATTTACATTTTTTACATATGTTAGTCTAATTAGAGAAAAAGGATTATGTCAAATAACAATGACTACTCTTCATTTGAAAGGCTACCTATACAGTTTTGTAGAGCAACTCATGATGCATCGAATCTCATCAAATTTCAATGTTCCGAATAGTCATATGCCAGTTAAGAGATATTATAGCAGTGATCAGTGATATGATCAAATAGTAGGACTCCGTATGTCTTCAACCTTTAAATTGTTTAATACTACTTCTAAGAATAAAGGTGACCAACCATGTAACTTTCTCGAAGCTCTATAAGTATATCAATTGATTATCCTATGAATTACTGTACGTTATGATCAAATCGACCAGTTAATACCTGAAAAAAGCCAATATATCGATTCTTATGAGCCGACAAGTATATGAGTTTTTGAGTGAAAAAGTTTTTTGCTTTCAGATTCCTGGAGAGAACACTAGAATGGACTATAACAAAATTTATTTTTTTATTTTATTTTGTTTTTTATGAATTTAGACTTTGAGCAGTCGAGCTTGATTAGAGTATAGAGCTCTATTATATTCAATATATGATCAATCTCTAATGAGAACTGAAAATATATTGCATATTCCCGTGGTTACCTTTTCCCATAGCAGCATCTAACAATTTAAAATATCGTAAAAGCGAAAAATTACAGAGGTATGTAAAAATGCTAAGGTGTTGATTACGAAGAAAGCTGTTGTGAATAATATTAAATATACACAAGTGAAGACGAGACAAAACTTGATATAGGCTGGCTTGAAGACATACTGGGTTTCAATACTTCGTCATATCACTCATCATTGCTATAATATCTCTTAACTGATATATCGCTTTTCAGTGCATAAAAACTTGCTGAAAAGCAATTTCTTACATACCATTTAATGCAGCATGAGGTCCTTTACAAAATAGTATAGATGGAGTTTCAAATGAAGAGTAGTCATCTTTTCCGATTAGTGGCGGAGCCAGGATTTTGAGCTGGCAGAGGCTGGAGGGACTCAGCGTCTTCTAAGGCACCTCTGAGCCCCGGTTTTCGAATAAAATACATGGTTTTAAAATTTTCCTGGGGGGGAGGGGCTGAGCCCCCCTTGGCTCCGCCACTATTTCCGATGTCGTCCTTTTATATTACTGGATAGGTGTCTGGTGGATTGTGAGTTAGTTTTTGCCAAGGTAGACCGCATTCTGTACAAAATCGTGTATATAAATCATTTGCTTTTGGTGCAAAGCAATGAGCACATCTAGAGAAAATAAATAATAAAATTAAAATAGGTTTTTTTTTTTCTTTATATAAACCTTAAAACATTTGTTTGTTGTGTAAAATGATTTGCTTGTGTTTGAGAGTTCGAATGTGTATAATTAGATGGATTTTCTTGTACTAATGGATCAATTGTTGAACGACGCATTGATTCTATATAGAAATTCGATTAATAGCAAATAAAGGGTTTTTTTTTGATACCAGATAATTTTTGTTGCATTTGTTCATTTTCATTTTGCATTTTTTTCATTAATTCCTATTGAACAAAATAATAAAATCAATGAATGAATACTTCATTTCATTATTAGACTAACGAAGATAAATATCTCAACTGATTAATTGTCTTTGATTCGAAACTATAAGCTTCATGTAGATCAAAATAAATTATAAATACGTTGAAAAAGGTTCGGGTGCTTAACTGATTGTTGCTGAAATTTTGCATTTTTTATAGTAGTTTTTAGCTAATGTCATGATTTTCTTCAGAAACATTAGGAAAATTTATTTTCAAATTTTGACTTCATGTTTTCCATAAAGATTTGACTCACAAAGGCTAGTTTATTATGAAAGTTACAGAAATTTTCGTTGTTCCTATTCTAAGATACATCTATGATAAAAGCTTATCTTTGACACTACTTATATACATCTGCAGATATTATGTTCTTATGTCAGGAAAGAAGCAAATCAAAAGAGCTGAAACTTTCACAATAATCTACTATCATTATAAGACCTGTCTCTATGCAAAGTTTCAAGTTGAAATTCGAAAACAAATTTTCCTAGTATCCCTGTGGGGCATCGTAACATTGACTTAAAAAAAGCCATAAAAAATGCAGTATCTCAGCAGCAATACAATAAGGATTCAAACTCTTTTCAGGGTATTCATAGTTCTCTACATGATGCACATAGTCCAGACTCCATAGCAATTAATTTGTTGGAAGGCTCCCTCGTAAAATATAAATTTCGTATATTGATCAACTTCTACAATAAATAATTGCACATTTCTTTGTTAATAGTCCGAAAAAAATCTAGATACTGAATTTCAAATAAGTTATATAGTCTACAGGATAAATATAACATAGACCTAACATGTCTCATGTTGTACAATTTTTTGCACTACTACTGTTCGAAGAATAACAGTCAGCAAATAGCCAACTGCTTGTGAGCCAAATTATCACCGATTGATAAGTGATAGTTATCATATGAAATATCATTAATTTTTTAACTTTGTTGAATAGATATACAAGTGAATATTTTCAGTAAATTATTAGAGCAAATTTATTAGCTCCGTAATCTTAAGTATATTGAATCAAAACAACGTTTTTCTCATCTTTACAACTAAGGCATTTTTTTTTTGAAAATATTTTTAGTTAAAGAAATTCGATGATACATTGTTTTACGGTAGAAAAAGTAATCCGTAATATAGAAAAAATGATGAAACATCAACTAACGCTTCTTAACATGTGGAATCACTCTTCAAATATATATCACTACTAAAAAATTTCAATTGAATGACAATAAATCAAAAAAAAGAAATTCCTATTGAATCTATTTATTCATTCTCATTCGAAATTTTCTACCTTTCGTTCTTGTTGTAATTCACATAAATATCGATTTTGATATTCATCGGATACTGCATGATCCGATGGAACAATTTTAACATCAAATATTTTTGTTACTATAACACTTTCTCGTATTCCATCACTAAATAGATTTTAGAAAAAATAAAATAAAATAAAATAAAAATTCTTAAACTCATTTCTTTTTCAAATATCGTACCGTGATACAGCTATAGCTTTAATTGTTACTTTGCCTGTATTAACTAGTTCTCTTGGAATATAAAATGGTTTTTTATATTGTATAGTCGAACGTCGTGTTGCTAATGTTATAAATGCATCTGGCTTAGAACCATCTAATGTATAATAAATATCTACATCATTTGTATCACTACGTAATTCAATCAGTGTATTTGTATCAATTGAAAATTTTTGTGTATATCCAACACGTAATGGAATTATCGACGGAGCAGATATTGAACCAGCAGTCATTTTGTTTTACAATTCAAAAGTAATTAAATTGACATGATGAAACCATACCAAACGTTTTAACATCAACGGTTGCCAAGCAATATTAAACTATATATATGATTGGTTAAATATTTTATCCAATCAAGAATAAAAAAGGAACAAGACAATAAATCGAATGAAATAAATTACATTCATAATTGTATGTAGATATATATATATATACATTCATCATCAAAAAAACAAAACAAAAAAACTATTATGGTATTTATACGTGATTTAAAACGTGAATTTTTTGAATTTATTTCTAAACAACAACGTCGTTTACTTGTCTTTGTTCATCTTGATGTTGATAGTTTATGTGCTTGGAAAATATTTCAGCATTTATTACAATGTGAACATATAACATATACATGTTTACCAGTTTTATATAAATATGATTTAGAAAATGGTCATATTCAACATATTAATAGTGGAATTAAATCAATTCTATTTATTAATTGTGGTTCAACACTTGATTTATATGAATTTTTATCGCTTGATTCAATTGAACAAAATAATAATAATAATAATGATGAAAATAATTTAACATTATTCATCTTAGATAGTTTACGTCCAATTGAACATCGTAATGTATATGATGCTAAACAAATTCGTTTAATTATTTTACCAAATAAAATTGATATGGAAAAAAAACGTGTACCACAATATGAAGAATTATTTCATGAAATATATGACGATGATAATGAGAATGATGATGATGATGATGCTGATAATCAAAGTGATGATGATAATGAAAATAGTACAAGTATGAGAATTGAAAGTACAGAAGCACGAGAAAAAAGACTTAAACGACAATGGTTAAAAAGACGTGATAAAGCTTTAGCTAATTATTATAAATATCGAACACATTCATATTCATCAGCATTAATTATGTTTGAATTAGCTTATTTATTATCAAAAGATACAAATGAACAATTATGGTAAGAATAAAATAAAATATTTAATCGAAATTGAATAATTGCTCCGGAGATGTCAAATGCTATATTCGGTAAATAGCGTACCCTTCACATTTCTCAGACAGTTAGAGATCGTCAAGTTCGAAGTTTTTTGCTCCGGAACAAATCCAATGGGTTCTACCTAGAATCTTTCAATATTTTGTCAATGTTCATTTCTACGGCTTGAATTTCTTACTAAAAGATTTTTTGTGCAGTTCTCTAAAAAAATGCATATACTAAGGGCATACAAGAAGTAATCATTTCGACATATAAAAGAGTTAATCAAATCTTTGACCTATTGAATTCTTCAAAGATAATCTCACTACTGTCGCAAAAAAATTGAAATAAAATTTCTATATGTCGGCTTGTCCCAACGTAACGCTGTGACGTTTTTGATACATTTTTTTTGCATTATCTCTGAAACTTTGTTCAAACGTTATTCGACACAGCTTGTGAAACTCTATTTATGCTATAAAAATGACTTTTTCGGTAAAAGCTTCGAGAAAGATTTTTTAGTTCCGTAACGCTGTGACATAAAAAGACCGTTTTTCTTCAGAGCCACTAATAAAACTGCAATTTCTTGTGAAAATATTACTTCAAATTAAGCACGTCTAGAGCCAGTTTTGTAGAGCTTTAAACGGTAAAAAATTTCCTCTAAACTACTTTTGCTTAGATAAAAATGCAAAAAAACAAACGTAACGCTATGACACAGTTTTTTGTCGACCAATTTTGAGATACTTACCATGGTCAGAACGATTTGATTTTTATAAATGTTAGTCTTTTCTGTATAACTAATTGTTCTACGCACGAACGAGATCGATACATCGACATGAAAGCTCATAAAAGACGCAGTAAGTTGGAAATTGTATAAGAGTCTAAAAATTGTCCTTAGCCACAAAAGTCGAAACTAAACAGGCCATATTATACAGAGTGAAATTCTGCATCGAATGGTATGTCCTTCGACATTTTTTTGGAAAAATTTCTTAGATAGAAAATCTAAAAGACGATTTTTGAAAAGTTTAAAACCCATTTTTCAATGCTAAAATCTAATTTTTCTATAAAATAAGTCTCAAATTCGTAATCAGTATTAAAAACTGCATCTAGTAACTCATTCAAATCTATCCAATTCGAAAAAAAAAATTTCTTCGAAACTTGATCAGCGAAGTGTCGCGTTACGTGAACAAGCCAATGTACAATATATACTGGCGCTAATCCATAACTTTTAATTTCTCAGAAAAAAACGTTTTAAATGAATATATTATCTTAAAAGTAGGGAGCTACGAGTTTTGGTAACACATTTATAAATAGCTAAAACCTTGCGTTTGGATTCGAATGTGCAGATTCTTACTCAAAATTTGTTCCTTTTTCTAGGTACGCTATTATCGGTCTTACTGAACAATTACTTCATGGACGAATCGATCGTGATTATTCTTCAAAGTCATGTACTTCGTCTTAATCATAATCAAAATTCTATAATAAATTCTAATGATGATAATAATAATAATAATAATACATCAATAATAAATTCAAAATTATCAATGGATTGTATAAATATTAAATTTGATGAAGATATTAATTTTCATTTATTACGTCATTGGTCATTATATGAATCTATATGTCATACACATGATATGATAATATCATTTAAATTATGGTCATCACGTGGTTTATCACAATTAAAAGAATTTCTTGCTGATTTAGGTATACCGAAACGTGAATATGAACAAAATTATCGTGATATGAATATAAAATATAAATTAAATATTAAAAAACAAATATTAGATAAACGTTTACAAGATAAATATCATTATATAACAAATACAATTATATTACCAACATTTTTATTAACAAGTGGTTTTACATTAAAATTATCACCACAAGATATTGTTTATTCAATAATGTCAACATTACAAACATCATCAACAACAACAATAACAACATCACCATCAATAATGATTGATTTAACTGAAAGGTTTTCTTTAGCATTATCATGTTTAAATTATAATCAATTAAATTATTATTTAAATGGTATTGAATTAGAAAAAATTTATACAAATAAAAAACATTATTTAATTGAAACATTATTACAATCAGATAAAAATTTAACATTTGATAATACAATACCATTTATATTACTTAAATTTGATCAAAATATGTTTAATTCATCAACAACAAATGATAATATTAAATCATGTGGATTTTTTACACATCCATATCAAGCATATTTATTTGCACGTAATGCATTACAAATATTAATATCATATACATCATCATCAACAAATATAATTAAGAAAAAAAAATCTAAACATTTACAACGTTTACCATTAATATTAATAGCACCATATTCATTAACAAATACAGGACAAGAATTAGTTGAAATTGTTGTTGGTGTACCATCATTAAATAGTATTATGATGAATTCATTTTCAACATTATTTGAAACAGCTGATCGTCGTTGTGGTAATGTTGCAAAATTTGTATTTTTTGATCATTCAGTATTATTATTACAAGAACAACATCAACAAAAATTTATCGATGCACTTATGTTTGTACTTGCGAAATAAAAAGAAAACAAAAAAAAATCTGTTTGTGTCTATTTTTTTTTTTTTTGTGTTTGTATATGTTATGACATTTATTTTATATAAATGATGAGAGATACAAAAAAACAAACAATGTTTTCTTTCGTTTGTCATCATATTTTTTTTTTCTTTTTGTTGAATTATTTAGATGAGTGACGACGCACTTTTCGATGTTTTTGATCAAGATGAACCAAGTGCTATTGTTGAATTACCAAAAAATATAACTGTTATTGAACAAGTAATAACAACTACGACGACGACGACAACTACAGTTATGTAAGGGAAAAATATTGCTTTCATAAAAGATAAAAATAGGCTATCGTTGGATCTTGTTTGTAGTCTAGAGTATGTGAAAGAATAAGCTAGAGGAGGTATGACACCATCTCCGCAACCAAGAAAACGCTTTGTTTTTTTTTCAAGCAGAATCGAAAATTTTTTCGTGTGTTAAGAAATATAGCCTATCTAATGGAATACATAACTCTTAAAAAAATAGTAACCCCAAAAGTTAGTCTGAAAATAATAATGTCACCAGGAAAATTTATATTTGACGAAATAATCAAGTACATTTTTTGCATCTTTAAGCCGATCTCTATTCAATAGTTAAAAGACAATGTTTTTGCTATAGTATCGTCCGAACGGCTAGACCTTGTAAATTGAGCAATTTTTGACCTCTAANCCCCCTCAGGGATGGTCTGGTCAATAATGACAATTTTTTCGATAACTCAGCCATTTCGTGACGGATCCTTCTCATCTTCGAACTCGACCGAGGCATTGTTAAGACTGAACTGTGTAGAAAATTTCATCATGATCTGACTCTCCTTTCGAAAGTTATCGTGTAAACGGCCGGACGGACATACTGACCGATTCTAGAGTGTACTCACTTTTTGAGTACACAATAAAAATTTTGACCAGTATTTCGTATATTCATACGATTCTTAATGGTCTCATTAATTTCTTTCTTAATTAAGATAACATCTGGTGAATATATTCAAATGAGTGGTCGAGCTGGACGTCGTGGAAAAGATGAACGTGGTATTGTTGTTCTAATTATTGATGAACGAATGAGTCCAACAACAGCAAAAGAAATTGTTAAAGTTTGTGTAAAATATTTTTTTTTTTTTTCATAAATTAATATTCATAGGGAAAAGCTGATCCATTGAATAGTGCATTTAAATTAACATATAATATGGTTTTGAATTTATTACGTGTTGAAGGTATTAATCCAGAATTTATGCTTGAAAGATCATTTTATCAATTTCAACATTTTTCATCAATACCTGCACTTTATGAAAGTAAATATTGTTTATTTATTTTTATGATTTATATATTTTGTATGATTATAGAATTACAAACTTGTGAACAACAATATGATTTAATTAAAATTGAAAATGAAGAAGAAATTGCAAGATATTATAAATTAAAAAAGAAACTTGAACTTGTTCAAGATCAAATTGCAATTATGATAAATGAACCAAAATATTTATTACCATTTCTACAACCTGGTCGTCTTGTTACAGTAAGTTATATATGAATATGAATTTCTATTAAGAAATTATTAATCAAAAAAATATTTTTTATGTTTATACTAAAATAAAAAATTACTGTTTAATTGAGAGTGTTATTCTTGTTGAATATTATGGCAAATAAGTATTTTTCTAGTAATAAGATACAGAGTTATAAAAGTTCTATCGGACAGGATCATATTGAATTCGAACTCTTTTATTTACAAAGAATATTTGGGAATGTTAAACATGATCTAAGTGATGTTACAAATCAAAGAAAGATCGTTTTTTTTTGTCTCATCTATTTTCGAACACATTTATTCAGCATTCTTATCTAGAAATGCAATAAGAAAGTAGTTCATATATTATTACGATATGTTATTGATATACGATCTTTGATCATATATCAACGACGCCTGTGATGGGCTGTTCAATAGGATACATTGGCATACGACCTTCAAAAGAATCTCTATGTATCTTTTCTTACATGAAGACATCAGTTTTTCTTTCTTAGTTGAGAATGTAAAGCATATTGAAATCTAACGTCACTTGACTTCATAATAGTACATCTGTACTAATTTTAGAATACTCCTAATGACGTACTTTTTAAAGCAAAGATCATATAGTGCAAATTACACGGAATGATTTTCGGTCGGTTTGAGTCACATAGGATATCAGTCATGGATGAGAACTTTCTTTTGCTGAGCTACGATGAACTAGTAAATGTTCCGTATTAACTGTGACTTAGAGTTTTATATTTGTAGATAATGAAATTCTATGTAAATACAGTGTCTTGCAGAAAAAAAACTAACCGGTGCCACTGTAATGGACATTTCCATTATAGATTAAATTAATTGTTTCATATATTTCGAGTTAGAAATACATAAATGCATCTTGCTTTTTGTGTACTCAAAAAGTGAGTACACTCTAGAATCGATCAGTGTGTCCGGCCATCCGTTTACACGATAACTGTTCACAATTACATTTGATTGAGCTGAAATTTTGTTCGCAGAATTATCTCATCAATATCTCGGTCGAGTTCGAAGATGAGAAGGATCCATCAAGAAATGGCTGAGTTATCGAAAAAATTGTCATTATTGACCAGACCATCCCTGAGGGGGGGTACAGGGATTTTTTCAAAAAAAATATTTTTCTCCGAATTATTCACAACATATACAAAATCGACTCAGTTTTTAACGCTGATTCCGAATCTGATATTAGTTTTATACCAAATCATAGCTTTCTAAGAAAACATCGCCTGAAAAAGGTCTCAAAATGCACAAAAACTTCATCCAGAAAGCAAATTGCCTAGATATGTCTCAGATGATAAAAAACAAAATGAATAAACCTTTTCACTTTTTGAAGTACACATAACACTCGGATTTAAATCCGAGATTTTCGCATTTATTTTAAAATTTTTAAAGAAAATATTTCTTCTAGGTTAAATCTGGTGATCTTAATTTTGATTGGTGTGTTGTACTTAATTTTCATAAAAAACCTGGTGAAAAAGTTTGTATCAAAAATATTTTTCATTGTTTCTTCTTTAATTCGTTTTTCTTTTATTTTTTTAGCCAATTTATATCGTCGATGTTTTAGCACATTTAACACTTGAAAGTGCTACACAAAAATTAACAGCTGAAATTCAACCATGTCCATTATCAGAAAGAGGTGAAATGAAAGTAAGAAATTTCTTATGATTTTTTTTCGAAATAAAACAAAATATTCTTTTTAAAAGGCTATTCCAATTCAACATACATTAATACGAGATATAAGTGCTATAAGAGTTTATCTTCCAGATGATTTACGAACAAAAGAATCTCGACAAAATATATTAAAATCAGTTCAAGATATAATACAACGTCATCCACTTGGTTTACCATTACTTGATCCAATAAGAGATATAGGTATTAAATCAAATGATATGATATCATATATAAAACAATATTCAATATTACAAACACGTCTTGATGAACATCCATTAACAAAAAATGTTCAATTAAAATATATTTATGAACAATATGAACGTAAAGCAAATATTGAAAAACAAGTTATAGATGCTAAAAATGAATTAAAAAAAGCACAATCATTATTACAAATTGGGGATTTAAAAAGACATAAACGTGTTTTACGTCGTTTAGGTTATTGTAATTCAGCTGATGTTATTGATTTAAAAGGACGTGTTGCATGTGAAATTGATACTGGTGATGAACTTGTTACAACTGAACTTTTATTTAATGGAGTTTTTAATGATTTAACTGTTAGTCAAGCATGTGCTTTACTTAGTTGTTTTGTTTTTCAAGAAAAAGCTAATGAAATGCCCAAATTACCACAAGAATTATCAGGACCATTACGTCTTTTACAAGTATGAACATATTTTTCTATTACGATTAAATAGAAAACTATTTACAGGGAACAGCGTAGAGTGAACATCATTTTTTTATTTTCTTCCATAAAAATGTGTTGAACTGACTCGAGGCAACCAGCGCAGGGAAAGACGTAAAGCCTTTTTTGTTCTAAGTGAGACTTTCTCAATATATATTTAAAGTTTTCATATCTATTTGTATGACTTCGTAGTTTCGGCTCTACGTGATATTTTCGGAAACGCAATTCCGAATAATTTTTACAACTGTCGAACTCTAGTTATATTTACGCTTGAGTCTTCTTTAATAATATGTAAGCCGAACGTTTTGTATGCAAATGTTTGCTCATTTTGGCCTACTTGAAAGAGTATCTTAGATAAGTCAAAAACTTTGAATGATAATCAGAAGAGGGTTGACCGAATTAACTTATCTTTAGTGATTGTATGAGACAATTTTTTTCAACTATAATATGGATTCAATATGATTTTGTCTTTACAATAGTCAAAAAATCGTTCGCAGAAATCTTAACTCAATTAAGTCGAAGAAAAACTGATCCACTCCTATTCTTCTCGTCAAAAGAATCATAAACGAGCATGGTTTTACTATCGGCGCCAGAATTCAAGGCAGTCGGATGTTTTTTCAATAACTTTTGATAGGAACAAGATAGAGATCTACGGTTTTCTGACAGTCAAGACCCAGGAGCATATTTTCATAAGCAAAATCTTTTCTGAGAAAAATTTTGAAGATCGGTTTTTTAGAGGATTTCAGGAAAACCACGCTGGATTTCTGAAAACTGTGATAACGGTCTGTTGATTTTTTTACATATTCGGAATCAGCATTAAAAACTGAGTCGAACCACATATGTTTCGAATCTTTTTATGAACTTTTGTTTCGTCGAAAAATTCACCCGTGGTCCTCCTGAGGAGTCAATCAAAAAACAAAGTCAGTCAAGAAGTCACTTGGACAATGGAAAGCAAGTTTGGAGCTTCTAAAATGCTAGTAGAACACAAAATGGCAAATGAATAAACGATAAAAACGAAGTTTTCACTGACTTCATTTTTTGACCTACCCCTCATGGGCAGCAGGAGGGAATTTTTCGACGAAAAAAAAAAGTTCATGAAAAGATTCGAAACATATGTGATTCGACTCAGTTTTTGATGCTGATTCCAAATATGTAAAAAAATCAATAGACTGTTATGGCAGTTTTCAGAAATCCAGCGTGGTTTTCCAGAAATCCTCTAAAAAGCCGATCTTCGAAATTTTTCTCAGAAACGATTTTGCTTATGAAAATATGCTCCTGGATTTTGACTATCAAACGATGAAAACCGCAGATCTCCATGTTGTTCCTATCAACACTTATTCAAAAAACATCCGACTCCTTTGAATTCTGGCGCCGATAGTAGTTCTTCAATTTCTGCTGTTAGTCAAAGCAATTGATTTATTTAGATGAGCAGTTATATGAGATATCAGAATGCACTTCTATACGAACATTTGCAGAACACTATTGCTTCAGTATAAGAAAATATTATCATAAAAAAGTTTAACTGTATTTTACGAAGAAAATTCATTATTTTAGGAAACAGCTCGTCGTGTAGCACGTGTATCAATTGAAAGTAAAATCGATATGGATGAAGAACGTTATGTTGATGGATTTAAACCATATATGATGGATGTTATTAAAGCATGGGTAGATGGACAAAGTTTTTCTAGTATTTGTAAAATGACAACAATATTTGAAGGTAATTATCGATTTAAATTACAATAAAAAAAAAAAAAAAAAAAAACAAGAATTTTTTTCTTTTGATTTATTCGATAGGATCTATTGTACGTTGTATTCGACGACTTGAAGAACTTCTTCGACAAATGTGTTGTGCTGCTAAAGCTATTGGTAATAGTGAACTTGAAGCAAAATTTACTGAAGGTATTTATTTAAGATTTTATTACTAAAGAAAATAAATTATCATATGATTTTATTAGGTACACAAAAGATCAAACGTGATATTGTTTTTGCAGCTTCATTGTATTTATAAGACAAAAGAAAATATATGAACATTAATCTATTCTAATAAAGAATTTTGTCTCTTTTTTTTTTTTTGTCTAATTGTTGTTTGTTAAATAAAAAACAAGAGTCAACTATTAAATTTAATCATTTGATTTATTCATGAAAATATATTTTTTTTTACAATGTTATTTATAAAAGATCAATTAGGATGCATCACAAAAAAAAGAAATCTGACGAGGAAACACAGTCAACTGATAATTCCTGTTTGACCTCATAGGAAGAACTTGTATCATTAGGCTTTTCTTCTTGAGTTGCTGAACTTTCAGTCTATTTTAAGAAATCACGAGAAAAATTGCAATAAAGAGTTTTGTCTTGAAGTTCATTCAAGCAATAGTTTTCATGATATGTTGAAAGTTTCAGCTCGAACGGATGGTTTTTTTTCTGGATATATTGTAAGCTTAAAAATTGGGCTATTTTAGAAGTTCTCGTGTGAAAGTAACGTTGTTTTTTTTTTTGCAAACATGTTATGCCAAAAGGAATACATCCGCTTGAGTTGAAACTTTTAGGATATAATGAGAGTTATTGTTCAGGAGAATTTCAGAACGGCACACTTCTTGTTGCAATTTTTCTCACGATTTCCTGTAATAGACTAAAAGCTCAGTAAAACGATGAATAGCTCGTAAAGAAAAGCTTAATCGTAAAAGTTCTTTCTATAAGCTCAAATGGAGATTATCATTTGGATGTGTTTAGTCGTAAGTATCATCATAGAAAAGTACGTTTATAGAACATTGTTAACAAAAACTACGATAGATATTTGTTTAGGCTTTTTATGTTGTTGATTTAAAAAAAACTTTTATTTAACTGAGAATTACAAAAGAAATCTAAAATGAATTATTCAAATCTTCCGCATTTGAATATAATTTTCTTTTCTATAAATTATTATTTAATAAAAACAGTTGATGCCAGATTTTCTTCAGAATATTTTCTTTTATTAAATTATATTTCTATTCAAGAATCATTTTTATACTCTAAATTATTTTGATTAATGCATATATATTGACTTAGGAAACAGTGGGTCTACAATTTTATGGACCCACGTGTAGAAGAGTCTGTAGCTTCCTAAAATAACTCTTTAAATTACTCAATCAGGTTTATTTTTTTTGTTTTGTCACTGCCATCAACGGTAATAAGAATCTAAATAATGATTTGTGTAGAAAACATTCTTTTCACAAAGATAAATATGTAAATCTAGTCGAAGACACAAAATGATGTTTCTCAATAGAGTTGTAGAGAAAAACAATTTTTATGTCATTCATAAGATTAATGTATCTAGGTCAAAAAATATTGCAGAAAGCTGAGGAAATATTTCATTTTGTAGAGAATCATTTGCTTTATAATTCTACGTAATTCAAACAGAATTCTACGAGATGAAAAATTTAGTTTTTCATTTTTGCAGAAATCCTATTGTCAATCAATAATTTTTTATCTACAAAAATCATTATTTGAATTTTTTTTGTAATTTTGACGATAATGAAAAAAATTTGAAAATAAATCTGGTTGAATAATTTTTCACATCGACTCGATATTTATATTTTCTAGACAAAATTATCATCCAACTGGAAATAAATTAAAATAATTAAACACTTTCATCTATTCATTCATATTTTAAATAATATTTTTATCGTTTAAAAAAACTCTCAATTTGTTTTTTTCTTGACGAATAATATTTTGAAGTACTTTTGTCTTTCCAATTGCATATGCAACCAGTTGTTGAAACTAATTCCGACAATTGTTTGTTTTTTATTAGATTGTAACGCGTACATCTATACTATTGACACAATTGCTACGATTACAGTTTTCTGTCTGTTAGTCAAGTATATAATTGTGAGAAATTTATCTCTAGGCCGAATTTTTAAAATAAATCTATGAAAAAAAAATCTATATATTTTTAAGAATGAGGTTGGTTATTTTCATATTGATATATATTATACTAAGTGAAAATCATAATACTTGTCAATTTAAAATGACATTTTTCTTTTTATTTCAAGCGGCACAATATATTTAATATTAATCAGATTGATTAAACAGAATATACATAATCAATATTCAACAATAATTCTATCGATTATTTTGACAATGAAACTACTTTTATATAATCAAATAAGTAAAAAAAAAAAATAAAGAAAAAAAGAAAACCTAATAACATTATCATCGTAAATATTCAGTTTCATACGAACAGAAGAAAAAAAAAACATTATTTAAATATATGGGCTCATTATCGTGTCAGCCAGCTGGCACCATCAAGGAAATATACATGTATATAGTTTGAGTGGGTCTTAGTAAATGTGTGCATATGCAGCATAAAGTAATATCAATCTCTAATAGAAAATAGATAGCTAGATAAAGAAAAAAAGAAAAAAGAAAAGAAAAAGTAATTCGATCAGCTCATCATATGCGTGCATTCATGATTCTTCTATTCAAGTGGTAATTGTAAGAAACGAGAATAGAAAGAAAAGAAGAGAATTGGTGATTGTCAATGAGACTGATAGGAAACTTTTTTCTTTTTCTTTCTTTTTTTTTGTACTTGCTTTTATGTCAAACATATTGTATATTATCACTCTTAGGTATGTGTTTAGCATATGTGTAGAAGATAAATAAAACTATATAACGAAGAGATAGAATTGTTTTTTTTTTCATGTTATATCTGGTTAGTCTAATTGAATGTTTATTAATATTTAGTCGAATATAAAATTGTTTTCTATTCCATGATATTTTCCAATTCATGGTTAAAATAACAAGACTCGACTTTGAAGTCAAATGATAGAATCCATTAGTTAGATCGAGGCCAAAACAAAAAAACAATCTGGCTTATGTTAACGTTCTGATTTTTTGATGATTGCTGACTTGTTTGTCTACCTGTTTTATCGTCGTGATCAGGTTTTTGTAAAATCCGACCACTTTAAAAAGGGAAGTACTCTGAGAAAAAACAAAAAAAAGATCAAATGTATTTGTTATGAGAAAATAGTTAGAACATAGAAGAATAAAAGGGAAGAGAAGAAGAATAAAGCCACCAACGTCAATGCCATTGCTGTTAAACGGCTAACTACTAGAACAAGCGTACAAATATAGAGAGACGAGAGAAAATGTGTTGAGTCGTCATTAAATTGTTTTTCCTTGAAATTTCTCTTTTTTTTTTTTTTTTTTTGTGTCGGCAACTTCATCGGTATCGACATCAGAACTGACAAAATGCAGTATTTTGTCTTTTTTTTTCGCGTTCTTTTTATCGTTTTGTCCTTCTCGACATCAGCTTTTCTGGCATTAAAAAGTTCTCATCATTAAATTGCATGAACAATCGTCTTTTGTATTAGAAAAGCAACGACGCGTGTGTTTGTTCGAGCAGATTGTTGTTCTTGTTATTCTTTGTGTTGCTTTCTAATCGGTATTTTTTTGTTTTTACTTGACTAATATTAATACATACATCATCACCAAACAAGTAAGTTGATCTCTTTCTTTCTCTATATACACGTAATCATTCGATATCAATGCATGATTACTATTGAATAAAGTTTGAGGCAAAATAGAAATGAAACTCAAAGTTTTATTATTATTATTTTTTTTTTCTTGTTCTCCTTCATCGATATAATGATATTGCTTCTATTCAAATCTCTATAGTCAATATGCTGAAATCAACCTATAAATATATACATCATAGTCTCTGTTGTGCTCATTTATTTATTCACACAAATTCTTGTCATTCGTTCTTATCGTTGTATTGAGTGTTTGTGTCTTTTTTCTATTCTTATTTTATATTCCTGTTTGCCTGTCTAATGTCTATTTCTCTTTCTAGTATTTCTCACATATTTTTGCTTGACTGAATAATGAAACAACTCAACGGTTCATTAACATTCATGTTCAAATGCATAGTTTAATCGTTGTCGTTTTCTTTTTCATTTCATCGAACATCATCGTTAATACCGCCTACATATTCTAATTACCTATCATTATATAGCATATATATTTATCCATTTATTATTCTGTTTGACTCCATCGAAATATTTCACATTTATATTTTACAATATATATATATACATTAATTGCAACGGAAATAATGGGAAATACAAATTCAGGAAAAAAGGGTGATCAAATCGAGAACGGTAAGAATATATATTTATATATAGATTGCAAATAACTAGTTATTTAGTTTTGAAAAAAAATTCATAGACATTTTCAATGATTAGTATGATCGTTATTAGATGAGTTGTTATTATAATATTGTATTAGGTGTATTTTCCCTCTTGACTTCTAATCAGAAATGTTATATAGACATATGTGCAAGGCCAATACATAGTGTTAAATGTCATGTATGAAAGTTTCTGTGTCGACACATAAATATACACATATGTCAAAACAACTAGCTAAAACTTTGTTTTTCCATTCTGGTCTTTTGTTTATCATATATAATTATTCTAAGAATATATAGAATAGAATTTTTAATGAAGAAAGTGTTTTGATTCTAAATTATAGTGCATTGTTATCTAATAATTATTGTTTTCTTTTTTGCTTTTTCTTGACGTACTTGTTGATCTAACTTAATATTGATATTTCTTTTCTTCCTTTTTTTTTTCTTATCGATAATTAATTTTTTTTTTTTTTTTTGATGAAATTAGTATTCGAGAATGAATAAAAGAAAAATGATTTGTTCTTATCGTGAAAAACAAAATCAATAATATTATTCGATTTTAAATAAAATAGTTTTGATTATGAATAGTTTATTTACTACTTCAATATATGAATTAGATGATTTTATTTTCATATAAATCATTTGACTAGCATAAAAAATTTGTCGGCTTTGAGATATAGAATTTCGTAAACATAAAGATTGTTTATATTTATGTTATTTTGATATATTTTGACATGATATTGACATTTGGATAGATTCGCATTTTTCTTGTCTTAGTACATAATGACCTTTTGGACTACGAAACTATTTAAATCATTTATTACTCAAACAAGAATACATATGTTATT